TACAATCCAAAATTCAAAAAAAGAAGAATTAGAGACTGCCAAAATCATACAATGAATAAACTATTAGAAAAACGCTACCGATCCATAATTTTTGAGAAGCGAGAGGCTAGATTAGGGGAGAAAACCAAAGATTCCTTGCACTAGACGACCCATTCCACCCCCCCTCCCCGCCGCTGTACATTTCCTTTTACATTGTGTTTGCAACATTTATTTTAAGCTGCCCTCTTTGTTCAATCTGACCACTCCTACTTAAATCTTCCGCCACCTTGTCATTGTACAAGATCTTTACTTGTTCAAGGAGTAGTGGCACAGTAACTCAGTTCTCATTTAAGTCAACTTTTAGCGCATAAGTGGCAAAGAGATTGAAGGGATTTTTCGACATTTGATTTTAGTGAAACAGAGTACAATCAGTCATACCTTGTCCGAAATTATCAATATGCGGAAACCTTGTTCTTACAATTTTGCATTCTTTCTCTATCTTTCGACATTTTAGTCTTGTGACAAAGATGTTTAATACTTCGGGGGTGATAAAGGTGTTCCTTATTATTCTCATCCTGGCAGCTCTAGAAATTGGCACCTAACAACTTCCCATTTAATTAGAGAAGCATATGATTTTGAATACGTTCTCCAGATCATTTTTGCTCTATTTTTTAAGATTTGTTGTAGATTTTAATGAAGATTACCAATTTGTTTATTTCTGTGTGCTGGGAATATATTATTAAAAATTTAAAAACTATTAAAGGCAATGTGTCCAGCTAAAGCAAGCGACTCTGCGGGAGTTTTCAGAAACATGTAGTTTTTCATTTATTATCATCATTATTATTATTATCTGTTTAATTAAGGTAGGTGTATAAAAATAGCTACAAAATAAAAGCTTATTCAAGCCTACTATAAAGTAAAATTGTTTAAAAATAAAAAAATTAAAAATACATTTATATCTAGCATAACAAATATTTAAGTATAAATACATCATTCATTTCATCGCCCCAGTCATTACGATCGTTCTGTTTATCTACCCTGCTGCGAGGTTAGCTTTTCATGTGAGCAGTTTTGCATCGCAAGAGAATTAACCAATCGCAAGCCGCTTGACAAGTTGGGTATACGCAGTCCTTTTATATGGACACATTACCTTTAAGTTTAAAGACGTATTAATAAGTAATTTAGTAAAGGTGCTAAACTATTAGGACTGGTGGCATCAAAATGAAGCTGTTCAACTTTGTGGTAATCAATTTTTTTTCTAGAGAGGGCTGATATAGAGCCACACTTTTTGTCAAAAACAACCCTTTGTTTTTCACCAGCACATTGTGATTAAGATCTATTCAGATTCACTGGTTTTAAAACCACCAACTACAGAGATGCATAATAAATGACTTTTTGAAGCAAATAAATAAAGGATACGATGTACATGTAATAAAGAACTCCCTGAACAGTTTTTCGTTCCTTTGTAGCAAAAACATTTAGCAGAGAAAAGTCAACAAAAGAGCAGGCGTATAGCTGCCATTTGGTTGAAAATTCTGCTTAAAACCCTCTTAAAATACTTGCTGTTTATTCCACTAAATATTAATGCTAATGCTTTGCTTATACTTTGTGTTGATCTTTATCCATCCAAATACTTCACGAACTAAATCTCCTAGACACCAAATGCTTTTCTAACCAGTCTTTAGCCTGTTCTTTATTTTGGTAACAGTTTCAAACTATTAGCAACCTTGCTGCTTTTGGTTAAAGTGACTGGAAATGATTTCTGCTGAAGAATCCATATTGTTATGATCATCTGTCGGATTAAATTACTTGATTTTAAAGTTATTTCAATGCGGGGATGAAGTCACCTCGATGCAAGAAAACAGCTGCTGTAATGCATTCCAAACCCTTAGACCAACAGAGGCAGATTTGCGCAATGCGATAATGAAATGAATTTTCCTCTCAATATGTCACCCCTAGCGATCTTCAAATGCATAAAACACCCTAGCTTTGTTTTTCGACAGCATGTTGCTTCGATATTTCAGTTTTACCTAAATATTCTTTTTTTGCGTGATAGCCAAAAGAAAGTAAACATCGTTGTCGATATAGTTATTTGATGTTTTGGTCAATAATTGTAAATTGCTTTGAAAATCACTGGTGCATGTTGTTTGCCTTGCATTTTTGCACAAATAATTGAATTTTAATTAACTGGTTTTATTCTCCATCAAAACAATTGAAAGAAACTCCATTTACCCCATCAATAAAATTCAAGCCTTTGAACAAACAAAATGAAACTGATCCCTTTGCTAAGCTATCTTTGTGTTTGTTGGAAATTAGTCTGAGGCCTATCTCCCTTCCTAAAAAAATGATGACAGTGATACAATAATGATGATAACAATAAAGATACGAATATTTATACAGGATAACCTATCAGCATGATAATTATCCTGTTATCTTTAGGGTCCTGTCATAGAAGTAAAGAGAAAAAGAAGTTATATATTAAACTTATATTACTAAGGAAATTAAGTATGTAAATAGTTTCTTAAGGAAAATTGTTCCTTTATGATGTAGAGCAACTTGGTAACACCTGGATAATTGTTTCAAGATTGGATAAACTAAGTTATTGACAAAAGCACGGATGACTTGGGTTGGGGAACTAGGAGAAGACAAATGCACAAGACAGAAAGATCAAATGCTTTAGAAGTGGTTGGAATACGGAGGGCCGTTTGGAAGTCAAGGGCGGAGCTGGGGGGGCTGGAGCCCACCAATAACTGCCAAATTGTATTACATTTTCTTTATAACAGTGTATTGAATGGGAGCAAAACAATGGACAGCCCCTCCCAATATGAATTTCGTCCTGACGGGCACTGAGTATGCAGCGCCGTCGCCAGCTGTTGTGCTCTAAGGGTGTGTTCAGGTCCAGCTTGCAGACAATGTGGACAAGTCATCCTTTATTTGCCGATAAGTTCGCCGAAATTTCGCCGGCCATGGACCTTTAGTTGATTAAATGCCCCTCGTTTTCAAAATTGATTTTCTTAGAGGGTGTCACACCACAACACGCCCCTTGTAGCCACAGCCATGGTAATATACTTTAAAAATACGATTGTCTCACAAGGGATAAGGACGATGATGAAAAGTTCTATTTGATGAACAAACGAAAAATTTGTTGTTCAATATTTAATGATGTTTCATCTGAAAAACAAGGTCAGTTGCGATCGGGCTCACAAGGCACTTGCATTGTTCGCTTGACAAAAGGCCGATAGTTTGTCAGCATTCGACTGTCGCTCTATAAATGAATGCGTTAGTCGATCGTGATACACTATCCTTTGTTTCATTTTGTTTTTATTTGAAATGAACAATCGCAAAACTAGTCTGCTTTCGATTTTTAATGTTTGCAGGATTAGCTAACGCTATTGTTTCGGTTACCATCTGCCCCGCTTGTGCAAGTTCATCCTCCGTCTGCTCATCGTCCAAATCTATAAGCAACGACCATAGCCTCTATTCCGCAATGTCCACCAATAGCCATATAGTTATTGTTTTCATTCAGATTAAAGGATATTTTGACTTAACATGCAGGAGGCTCATAATGTGCGCCATCACTCCCTTCGTGGTTATCTTTAGCTAATGAATTCCTTATGTGACTTTTTGTGCAACGTTTTATGCTTTCAAGTTGATATTATTTCAAAACTGCCCAGAGGCGTCATAACGTGCTCTTTCCCCACCCACTCTTTATGGCAACAGAGTAAACCAGGGTGCTTCACTAGTCATTAAAATATCCATGTGGGCCCCATGTGAGCCTTAGTTTATCTTAGCGGCTATAAAGGCATTTATTCAATCATCTAAATTTTTTGTTGGTAGAGCAGGGCACCTTTCATAACTTTGCAAAGGAAAATATAAACTTAATGGGAACCTCTCTTTCTAAAATTGAAATTCCTAAAAAGTCGTTTCTAGGATTACCTAAAAGTTTTAGCATCAATTTAAATGTCCCATATAACGAAGATGGAAACATGCACAACCTTTGTTGATCAGGTGTTTTGTGAAATCTTGAACAAAAAATCTTGAGTTTTTTTCAACCATGGTGCAGCAACCCTGACGCAGCAACCCTGAAGCAGTGACACTGATGCAGGGACACTGATGCAGGGACACTGGTGCAGCGAACGACCAGCTAGAGATTGTGTAATTTGGTCAAACAACTGATTTAAATTGCTTGCCTCTTTCTACTTCACAAAATACTTTTTTCTGCAAAGTCTTTCCCTACAGCAAACAGTTGTAAATATGTACTTTATTGAAACCAAAAGCTTTGAAGGAGCAAAAATTGGATTTCACCGTCATCTGAATTGCAGTTACCCTTTAATTATAATCCTACCACTCTGTAGTAATCAATTTATATTTTTCTGTCTTTATAAGGAGATACAATTAAGCATCATTTATCTAAGGAAGAGTGTATAGACGTGTCGTAGAGGAAGAGAATCTTGCTCCAGGAAATGCTCTTCGGCAATCACAACTTTGAGTAAAGAGCCACGTAAAAAATTGTTATGAAAAACCAGTCTCTACTGAATCTTTCATTCTGGAAAGTGTTCATTTGAGCTTATTGTAGCAGGAACCTAAGGCATTCAACATTTTCAGCGGGGGAACTTTGGGCACCCTTTCAACAACACCTGTTTTTCAAGTTTGTTTTTCTTGTACCCGTTTTCTTTCTTTAAGATAACAAGACAGATTCCACTCAATGTGATTCGATTCAGAACAAAAACACAATTTTACAAAACAGGCTTTCCAGAGCAAACTTTATCAAACATCGTTTATCTTCGAAACAAAGGAAATACAAGAAATCTTTCCATCTAAGATTTTCACTGAAATTGTATCTAGTGATTTTTCTTGCCGACTTTAGTTTTTCTTAGAATGATTAGCTTGTGTTTCTTGTTAGAAGACACATTTTGTGTTTCTACTCCTTTAGCTTCGAAAGCAATATTCATTTAAACTTTCACTCTTCTTATACCGAATCATGTTTTTCTAAGGAATGCATACTTAGAAAAAGCCTCTAATTAACGTTGTGCATATCATGACAAATAATCGAACATAATTGTTGACAGACAATTGCATTTAATGCTCATGAAATTAATAATTCCCATGCGTATTTGAATAAATTACTCAATAATAACAACTGTTCATATTAATCAGAAACTGAATTACAATCTTTCAATTGATTTATTCGATTTTGCGACAGAAAAGTCTGGATTACTGGAATTCAACGTTCAATAAGAACATTCGAATGAGTTGCTCTTCTCCGCTATTCATTACCGGGCTTCTTTGGCCACTTCTTGCCATTTTTATCAGAGCTCAAACGTAAGAACCTGGTGTCTTTTTCTCGCAGCTTCGAGTCCATCTCAGGTCTTGCATTCAAATAGAGCCATCAAGGAGCGCATTTAAGGTGGGATTCCACCAAGACCATGTTCGCTTGATCTCTTCCCCTCGAGTTCACTGTGATGCTGGTGAATTGGGATACTCGATATCGTTACCCTGAGGGGCTTTCTTATCCTTCTTCCATTTTACCCTGCGGTTTTGAAACCAGATTTTCACCTGTTTTTCAGTAAGGTCAAGCATAGCTGCAATCTGTATTCGTCGAAGCCTCGAGAGGTATCTGTTATTTTGAAACTCCTTCTCTAACTCAAGAAGCTGGATGCTTGTGTACGCGGTTCGTATTCTCTTCGACTTCCCGCATTGCATCTGGGCCTTCATTCTGCGACTCTCGAGTTCGCGAACTGTAAAAAAAGAAAGCGTTTTGTTATTAGAAAGTAAAGATAGATGCTGTTCAACCTCTGGCAAAATAAAGGGGTTTATAAAACTAGAAGTATGTGTTTGGCTGAAACGATCTTTCGATATTGACATCAGCTACATTAAATACTAAGTGTATTAATTTGGAAACATTTTAACTGTTTCAAGAGCCATTTTATCAGCGATGAAAAAACCGCTATCACGATGAATGAAGTGGCACCGAATACATAAATAAGAAAGTTTTAACTGGCAAACAAAAGCATTCGAAAGAATCAATCGCCAGTTTTCGAACACAGTGATGATAAGGATATAAGTTGGATGATTCATTTTCTAAATTTGTATCAACTGTTTTTACTGTATTTCTTAAATTCCAGATTTAGCGTTTCCACTTCGAATGAAACAGATTTAGCGTTTCATCTCTTTCCCTTCAGTAGCACAAAAAATTGAAATTTAGCTTTCATTTGGACATTTGAACTGTTTTAAGCTTTTGAAATCGCTTGATCACATTGAAGGAAAAGATCGTCGAGCTAACGTTTGCTTGCCGTCAAACATTTCTTTAGGACAACAGTTGAAGTGAAGCATTCAAGAAAAACTTACTGTAAGATGGCAGAAGATGCGGTGGACAGTCGTGGATATTCATGGTCGGGTATGACATCTTATAGCCTTCTCTATCGTATTGGTGCCTTGAACCTTCTCTGTACGGTGAGCAGTATGGATATGACGGGAACATGGGACTGATCGGGGAAGTGTCCGTGCACATCTGACATTGGCATGCTGACGGCTGCGACTTTGGAATGCAACAAGTGCAGAATGTTGTTGATTCGGAGCTGTATCGCTTCTCATGATGGTGGTGAGGTGAATGAGGTGGAGAAACGTTGGCTGGACTAGAGCCTCTGGAGTGATGCGGACTCACCTGTTCATTCGGAATCAACGGTGGCGGGGCATCGGGTTGCTCTAGCTTTGGCCTGTTGTGTATAATCGTATCTATCAGAAAACTCTTAGACATGTTTCCTTGTTAATCACAATCTTGCTGCTTGGTCTTCTTGAATCTTATCTCTCAGTTGCCTTTCTCCACCAGTTTCTAACTTTTTCACTTCTGTGCACAGGTATAATGCCCTCGTAGCTCGTTCTATGTAATACCAGCAATTGCCCGACCTCCGCCAATCAGCTCAGACTGCAACTGACGCTTCGCTTTCAGTCGACCTGTTTATAAACCTTTGCTTCCGCCGCTAAAAGACCCACGTGCAAACGGCTATTATAAAATTATCCAATCCTATTGTGCGCATTGATACGATTGTAAGAGCTGAGAGCTCGCACCTTCTTCAGACCTCCGTGCATAGCAAGCGAGAAGGCAAGCAAAGTATATCTAACATCTTTAAGATACAACGTTTAAGTAAAAAAATATTTCCAACTGATGATTGCAAATCAAATGACAGTGCAACCATTCTTAATGGCTTTAAAACAAATATCGTTATCTGCTAAGATGATGCAGAAAAATTCAGAAAAATCACTTCCATTTATTTTTTATATTTTCTTTTAATATCAGTATTAAAATTCAATTTTTGTCTAATATTGGAAGGGATACTTTAAGAACATTTTTAAAGTTATGTTTAAGAATGAGGGTGCATACCTTTGATGCACCTGTCCACTACCAATCCCAGTGAACAAAAATCAGGGGGTTCTATCTTGAACTTTGTCTGTCCTATACAATAAGATATCTTTGGACTTGCTGCTAAGAATGATAGGAATGGGGTCTTTATTTGATTATAAAGAAATTACCAAGTCACTTTTTCTATCCTCTTGTTTCAAACTAGCGAATAGAAAGTGAAAAACCGATTGGCGTAGTTTGCAAGTTACTTAATAAATCTAAGGACAACTTGCAAGTTGCTTTTAGATATTTGGGGTTGGTGACGTTAACAATTTAGTTTATCAAAGTAGGCAGCATCTTTTGACTTAGTGTTTTCACTTTGTGTGTTGAAATGTTGCTGTAAGACTGTAAGACAATGCTGTGATGGGACAAAACGGATAGTTCGCTTCACATTTCTAGCGCCTTGATTGTCAATTTAGAATGATGACTTACTAATCCAATGGTTTGATTAGAAAGATTAATTATGAAATTTGACTTGAAATTGCTTTGAATGAGAAGCCACGACACATTTCATTGAAATCTTTGCCTTTCACTGCCGATGTGTCTTTAAGAATTTGAAAGAATAATCAATACAGGTGCTGCATTCTTAAAGCGAGCAATTCTGATTTGCAGTATCGCAGTAGTTGCTCTTTATTCTTGGCCTCGCAAAGCTGAGCAAATCTTATTGTAATGGAATTGATGGATACAACTGACAAAAATGTTACCTAAACGCCCTTTTTAAACAATCTTCAATTGAAAACAAGATGATTAAAAATTCCAACGCAGCTAGTCATTTCTTATTTTACAAACGTAAGGATGAAACATGACAGCTTCAAATTTCTATTACTAATGCATATCTGATGGGATTGATTGAATTTTATCTGAAACGTAAAAATCTGCTTCTCCAAGTAAAAACATACTAGAATATGAGTTCTTTTAAAATGATTAAATACCTACGACAATAAGCTCTTTAGCAGTGATACTTTGAAAAGGATTTTAGGTGTTTCCTTATGAGACAAACACATGTCGTTTAAGCCAATTTCGCTCTGCGCTTTGCAGTTACAATTTCATTTGCAGCTACAATGTAAACAATGATGCCATTTATTAATGCTTTTGTTCAAGGGACCTCTCGCAAACAAACAACAACAGATGTTTCTTCAAAACTTCTGTGTTTCTTTAACCTATTCTAATTAATTATTAGTATGTATTAAAATCTGAAGGCGATTCAAATTCTCTTGTCACCGATAGTTGTACTGTTTCGGGCTAGATAATGAATTTTTCTAATTTCGATTCGTGCATAAAGGAATTTGAATAGAACGGCTGCTTGCATTTGTGACAACCTCTTTAATTTCTTTTCAAGTTAGGATTTGAGTGCATATGATTTAGTTATGAAAGCTTCCTTGCCGGTTGCTTCATCTGTTTTATTAAAAAGGTCTAGTTATGACATATCGACATTAAGCACAGTTGTTGATTTGTGTGATATGTTACAAGTATCAATTACCGTTTCATAATTTTCCATCTTACCTTGTACTTCAAATTTGTTTCCATTGCAATTCAAAACTATAAGTAATAAGAAGTCAGTACCAGGTAAACTAAAGATTTCCCATAGTCCATAAATTGAGAAGGACAAAATTTGCGCTGAGACTTCATTCTGGTTTGTTATTTAAATATTATTCACTCCATCTTGAATCGAAGTATCGAATTAAGTCCATACGAATATTGAATTTATCTCATGTGAATCCAAGTATCGTTTCCTATTGTGACAAGTCAGCACAATTAGATAATAGCATTGCATAGCGCGTGCTTTGTTAATCAACTGGGGGCATATCGTCTAAAAAGATGGCCTATTTCTTAGAAACTCAAGTGCTTTCTAAATGTAGTGTCAATTCATATTCAAACAACTGTTTTGGTTCTTTACTTCAGTTTTATATGTTATTTATGTACGACTCACCGATAATTTCGAACAGGAAAGGACAATAAACGATGAAAATGATGCTCAAAGTCAGAAAACCTCTAGATAAACCAATTCAGATCTGTGGCTTCTCCACGACTTTCGGCAAAATTGGAACAGTCAGTCCGTAAGAAGTGTTTAGTATAAAAAAATTTGATCGGTATTCTCGAACTCCTTCCCAATTCTTTCAACTCATTTTTTATCAAAAGAACAATTAGATTACAGCTCTGCTTACTGAACTTTGGTATTTGAAATATTTGTTATATGAAGTAAATATTATACGCGTAACAAGGAGGCTGCATTGGCGGAAGCCTTTAAGTATCGAAGCGATTTATTATTATTGACTAATTGATTGGGTAATAGCGATTAAGCGATTCATTTTGATGGATTAACTGATTTGATATGGATATGTGCTGAATACCTTGGTCTGCTAGATATCTACATTCCATTAAAATCTAGTTAGGTTGCATCTCGCCCGTGGTCATTCGTGCAATCAAAAGATAATCATTTGTTATTTTAAAACATTTGACAATTACACTGACATAGCATTTATCTTCGTACAAAGACCTCAATTTGGAATTGGATCGGTTGCTGATAACCCATCACAACTGCTCATTTCAAAGTCTTCACTGATTAACTGCGTTATCAGCATCTTTCACAGAAAGCTTTTTAACGGGCCCCCTGACTATTAATATATACCTCTTTTATAAAAACTTTAAAGTTTAAATCTGTTTTCAGCGTTTTCCAAATGACGTTGCCTTTTAAGAATACACACGGAAAGCTTTTAATCCAATAAATATGCACATCCCTGTTGAAACCTTCATTGTTCAGAATTTAGGCCTTATTGTGGCGTAATCCACACCGCATACAGAACGTGCGTATATACAGAAGACGCTTCATTTTAGCATCCAATGCTCAGTTTGATATATTGTTCAAATCAGCTGCAAGTTTTTCAAAATGCAATTTCTTTTCAAAAATATTCTTTATTTTACCAATTCCCACGTTTTGAAATTATTTGGTGAAGGCTCTTTGCTTTGTGGCCTCCTTTGGGCGAAGATAAATGAACAGATGGAGGATAAGGGTATGATTCTATATTTCCCGGTGAGATACGAGCATTGCACAGACCTTCAATCACGTCCATTGACTCTGCTGTATTGAATTGCAAATCAATTGTTCAGGATGAAAAGCAAATAAGTACTTCATGTAACTGACTGTTTCGATTAGATTTGCAAATAAATTAATGAATAAATAAAGAAGTAAAATTAAGTGGCAAAAAATCTCACAGTGGCAGATTATGATTTATTGTTCATTATAATTAACTTTAAATTCTCTAAGAAGAAGAAAATGTTTTTAACCCCAGCCGGTTATTAAACCCGAGTAGTGCAAAAGACACCAGAGCAGTTGGTCTAACTCCCGATTTTAGTTGGATTTCAATATATTGAAAGTAATAAATAGCAATACATTGAAGGTAAAACCAGTTAATTCCCTGCTTCAACAATTCATTGCTTTGTTCAATGAAGAAAACGTTCAAAAAACTGACTTTCCATAATTCAGTGAATTGATAAAATATCGTAGCGCAACGGTGTCGCATTATGATTAGGAGAATTAATTTGCAACTGTACGCTTTTTAAGGGTCATCTGACCTGAATAACGTATTAAAAAAGCACTTGAAAAGATATCTACCATGTTTGCTCTCCTATTTATTTGTCGAATTTTATCACAGTACGCAACAACGTGACTTTCGGCCGACCGAATTTGATCAGCCGCACTCCAAAGCTTCCGCGCAGTGGCTGCAAGCTGCCTGCGTTCTCAAATTACTCCACACTTGATCTTGGTCTGATATCGACAAAGCGTTCAAAATCTTCAATGATTTCATTTGAATTAATTTTTCTATTAATTTCAGCTATTCAATAATGAATTTGTAACTCTTCAACAAAATTACTTCAATAATTAAGTTGTTTCTAAATTTTATTTGATTGCATCAAGGGAAACTAACCATTGTTGTTAATTAAAATCAAAGTCATTAGATTTTTACACTTATTTCAGAATATTACATCAACATGTATGCTGATAAAACCTTAAGTTTTTTTTAATAAAAACGGCTGTTCATTGCTTATTTAAAGTTATAATTAACTTAACAATATAGAATACCGAGGAAGCATTACAGCTCAAGGGATTTGAATACCGATTCGCAAAATATATCAAACTGTCTACTATGTTAGGCATTCCGTTGACTGGAAATTCAGATGGCTTTATCTTGACGAATCTTTGAAGGATCCATTCAAATTAACAGAGTTCTGTTACTGGTAGGTTGCCTTAATTTCACGAATCAATACTTTGCTGGGAAGTGATAGCAGTTGATTTAACGGTGAAGAAGAAAGCGTTAATAAATTCAAAGAAGAATTAGCTGTATCATTGAATATCTACTTTGAGCTGAAATCGAGGCATAATTTTTCTACTCACCAATGATTCGGCTACTTTACCAAAGCAAGACAACAAAACTTAAAAGAGATTTTAAGGAAATTATTTTTAACTTGGTTTTGAACATTCATGTGAATTACTTTGCCGTAGCTTCTCTGAATTACAAAAGAGAAGTTCAGTTTTTCTTTGTTTTCAAGAGGCGACATAAATTTGAATTCTGCTGCTCTTCTCAAGTGGATGATCAAGTTTTTACAAATTGAATAGCTAATGCTAATATTTATTATTCGCTCCTACCAAAAACATTTGAACTTCGCATTCTGATCTACCGTTTTTTATAAATATGCATTACATAAAGATATTTGTCAAGTC